TTGATCTCTTCTATTCATCTGTTATTGCACCCAAAGCTATGACCAACTTCTGGTCTGAGAGCAAGTCCATCTCCTTTGGAGGCTGTGTCACCCAGCTCTTTCTCTTTGCTCTCTTCATTGTGACTGAGGGATTTCTCCTGGCCGTCATGGCTTATGACCGCTTCATTGCCATCTGCAACCCACTCCTCTACTCTGTCCAGATGTCAACACGTGTCTGCACCCAGTTGGTAGCTGGTTCCTATTTCTGTGGCTGCATCAGCTCAGTTCTTCAGACCAGCATGACTTTTACTTTATCCTTCTGTGCTTCTCGGACCATTGACCACTTCTACTGTGATACTCGCCCACTTCAGAGGATATCTTGTTCTGATCTCTTCTTCAATAGAATTATTTCTTTTTCCTTATCCTGCATCATTATCCTGCCAACCATCGTAGTTATTATTGTTTCTTATGTATATATTGTGTCCAAAGTTCTAAAGATACCCTCCACTGAGGGGCGGAAGAAAGCCTTCTCCACTTGCAGCTCTCACCTAGGAGTCGTGAGTGTGCTGTACGGTGCGGTCTTCTTCATGTATCTCACTCCTGACAGATTTCCTGAGCTGAGTAAAGTGGCCTCCCTATGTTACACCCTAGTCACTCCCATGTTGAATCCTTTGATTTACTCTCTCAGAAACAGAGATGTCAAAGAGGCTCTAAAAAAACTTGAAGGAAAAAAAAATACTATTCTTTGATTATTGTTTCTCTTCTACTAAAGGTGGTGTGGCTATTTATTTCACACCTTTTGTGACCTTAATGAAAGTTATTCTACTGAACATCATAAATATATTATCAGAAGCTTTTCAAGGTGACAGACTCTTCCCATATATTACTCTCTTTCCTCTGAGACATTGCTAATCCTGAACATCCTGGATATTTGAGATATCCTTGACATTAGAGAAATGTTTTTCAAGATGAACCATGCTCCTGATTTCAAACAACATTTAATTTCACAGAATTGATTTTTATTTATTTTTATAACATGCTACTGGACACTTTTTATATTTTATTATAGTGTTTAAACTATATTTTGTCTGGTATTTGTCTTTGGAGTTCCTCCTTCCCTTACACAGACTCACTGACAATTGAGAATAATTCTGATCTTACTTTTTAAAATAAAATATTTCCTAATTTTATGGTTAGTTACTTTAGTGTATTAACTGGTAATTGAATTTCCACTTTGAATCCAGGATTTTGTATGTGTTATATTCAGAGGAAGTCATAACTAGAAACAAGCAAAAGGTAATCTTCATTGTGCACATTGACTTGGAAAATTGTAGATTCAGTGTGTCAGGCATTGTGGAGTACTCTGAGGCACTGGGTAGTTGCTGGATTCTCATATAAAGATCCACTGGGAGGTAGTGACAGGCATACAGTTTGGAACAATTATTCCTCAATTTGGATGTCCATAATTTTTTTCTTGTGTTAATTAATGTCAGGGACATTAATTAAAGGTATAGAAGCAAGGTTGTTGTCAAATAAGAGTGTGGTCCAAAATTTACTCATTTATGCCTCTGTATGTTTATGTATTTGCTTAATTACCTGTGTAATTAATTGCCTGTGTAATGTGTTCTGGTCTTGTGGTAGGCTTAGGTTAAATAACCTCATTATTTAGTGGGCTTACAATTTAGTGTGAGAATTACATCCTTAGAAATACAATTAAAGTTCAGAGATGTATATGCCAAAGATAAACATAGGGATTGAAAAGTGGGTTCTTAAAGGTAGTTGGTCATCCAGGCAAGTCTTCAGGGCTACATGGAAGATATATTTAAGGGGATAAGATTGGAATCAGGTAAACTGCTGTATCAGTTCATGTTATTGATGTGGTGTTGAAATTCTCTAATGTAAATGAAAAAGGCTAATTTGAGAAAATCCAGGTAAAATATACAGAATATATTAGTTGACTAGTATGAGGAGGAATGTCTCACCATTTTTAAACTTGGATAATGTATGTGTTGATTGTCCAGATTAAAAGTAAAGGAGCTTTCAGCAAAGTAGCAGTAGAGGGAAGTTCCTTGTGTGAAGAGAATATCTGCGAAAACCTACAGATAATATCACATTTAATGGTGAGAAACTAACTTTCCCCCAAGATCACAAACAGGGTAAGGATGTCTTCCTTGACCATACCTTGGCAACGTTCCATTGAAGTCAGCTATTGCAGTAGACAAAAAAGGAAATAAAAGCGTATGGGCTGAATTATGTCTTCCAAAACTCGTATGTAGAAGCCCTAACCTCCATTACCATAATATGTGATTATATTTGGAGATAGGGCGTTTAAAGATGTAATTAAAATAAGGCTGTTACAGTGTGTTTTAGTACAATCTGACTGATGTTTTATAAGAAGATTGGGACACACAGAGGGGCACCGAAGGGTGCATGTACACTGTGGGTGACGCTGTATAGAGGGAGAATTAACATTTACAAGCCAGGCAGAGAGGTTTCAGAGGAAATAAATCTGCTGGCACTTTGGTCTTGGACTTCCAGTCTCCCTAACTGTGAGAAAGTAAATTTGTTATTTAAGTCACTGAGTTTTGTGGTATTTTATTATGGAAGCCCTAGCACAGCAATACAAAAAGGTATACAGAATGGAAAGGAAGATATAAATCTTCCTTTATTCACAGATGATGTGATTCTGTAGAATATCTAAAAGAATTGACATATAAATAAAATAAACTAATAGGAAGGTTGTAGGATACATAGTTAATGTTACAAAAGTTAATTGCATTCCATACACATGCAATGAGTAAGTGGAATTTAAAATGAAAAAGAATGCCATTTACACTGGCACTTTCTCAGAAATGAAATATTTGGTTATAAATCTCACAAAATAAATAACAGATCTATTGGAGGATAACTATAAAACTCTGACTGAAGAAGTCAGAGGAGACCTAAATAATTGGAGAAAGTGTAAATGCATGTTACGAGGTGAAGGAAGCCGATATGCAAAGGCTACTGTCTGATCCCAACTATGTAACGTCCTTTCAGTTATTGCACTTCTAAACTCCAGAATAACTTTTGAATATAATTTCTGTGTTTTTGTTGTTGCCTGCTCATTTGTTTTGAGTGACTTTGCTGTGCTGTTTTACTGAAATCAGTTTGCTCTGAAAGCCTCTGGTGTCCCTTCTCAGAGGCACAACCTTAGACTTGTGCGGTTCCTTCTGGCTACAGGTTTCCCCAGGGCTGCCTTTGGCTTTCATTCTCCTGGTCATTGTGTTGAATGCTGTGCCTCTGTAGGTTTCCTACCTGGCTGATGGCCTCCACTAATTCTTCTTGTTCTATTGTTTTAAAACCATGTTGGGACGTATATGCTCCGTAGTCTGATCCAGTTAAATCTGGTCCCTTCGGCAAGGAGAGTCCTTGAGGCCAGTCTTTGAGGTTTGTTCCAACCCCAGGGGAGCCCGTCTTAGCCGTCTCCGTTCCTGGATCTCTCTGGCAAACTCTAGTCTGTCTGTAGTGAGAGTTTTGCTTTCCTGGAGCTACCAGTCTCCTTTTAGTTGCTTATCAGCAAATATATATTATATTTGAGAGTTCACTTATGCTTGAGCATTCCTACACTTTGTTGCAAATGAAGTCAGTTCACTTGAGGAGCGCTTTGGAGCCTGCTGTTATTAAGGCCTGCCTTTTGTGCTAGCTCACACCTGCGTTCAGCCATTCTGGAACTGGAGCAGGATAGTGGCCTAATTCTTTAGAGGGACACCGCTGCTTTGTGAACAGGTTTCTGGGTGAGGTAGTGTTGGATTCCCCTGAGGAAGGCGCCGCCCCAAATCACACACCAAAGACGTTTCTTGATGCAACAAGCAAGAGGAATTTATTCGGAAGCCAACTAGTTGGGGTCCAAGTCAGCCCGTCGCAGCGGGTCTCAACGAGGACCCAGAGCACACAAAGCCAGAAGGTTTTATAGCATTTTCAAAAGGGGTAAAATTTTCCATAATTACAATACAGGGTTTTTTCTATAGGCTCATAAATCTTTTGCTGGCGCCACATCCTGGGGTCTGGTTAGATGAGATCACCTTCGGAATGTCTAGGGTGGTTCTAGCAAGATAAGCTAGGCATGTATGATTAACTGATTTACGGTTGGCTAACTAAAGGTCACTACAATTGACACAGGCTAACTAACTTGTTTTTCAAGATTCTAATGATTTTCCTTCTTCTGGGTTAGGGGGTGGTATTTAGGCCTTAAGATGGCTGTACTTATGCTAACTTTTGATTCTTCAGATCCTACAGTAGGTAACCTAAGGATAATCAAAGCTTGTCTCTTTTGGCATAGAACTTCTGTTTTTTGAGAGAATGGGGCAACTGAAATTGGCGCATGATTATTCCTGCCTGGGGCAGAGCTTACCCTTTGAGTGGGGCCTGGGTAAACAACTCGATTTCCAGACTTTGTAGCCACTGTTACCTTGAATACTCTCTGCAGCACGGAGCTACAGAATCAATGTTTGCAGCCTGCTACACTCCAAGTGATATGGTAGCCTCTGCCTGGGATCTAGGTAAAGGAGAATCCCTATGTTCTTGTCTTCACTTGCCTGAGTGGACTTTCTATCATGCAGGGTTGAGGGAAGAGAGGCTGTGGACTCCCGCTCAAACCTGTATGTTTGAATGTTTATGTAGGCTTTTTCACAATATGTAAAAACTGAAAATAACTCAATTGCCCATCATTGTAAGAGGGCATAAACAAACTTTGGTACTGTGTACATTGGAAAATGGAATACTACTCAGCAATAAAAGAAATGAATTATTTGTATGAATGACAAAATAAATGTCTCAGAATTATTTTACTCAGTAAAATAAGCCTGAGCAAAAAGCACACATATTGTGTATATATATATATATATAAAGTTACATATATAATTATATATTATTGCACAAGTATATATATATTTGCAATAAAATGAGATCACTGGTTACCTGGGAATGTACTTGATAGGAGGCATGGTCTCAAAAGGACATGATAAATATTTGGAGGTGATGGAGATGTTCTATATCTTGATGTGGTGATGGTTTCATTAACATGTAAAATTGTCAAAAGTCACAGAATTGTGCATTCTGAATGAATACAGTTTATTTCACAGTAATTGTTCATCAGTAAAGTGCTTGAGAAGAAATAATGAGCACAGCTGCTTTTATAGATCCACAGACTTTTATTTCTGAGCAATAACTCAAATGTCTTTTTTGGATTAAGGATTTAATGTTGGCCTAAAAAATTAGGAAACTACTGCAGGCAATAGGAGATATTTATTATTTAAAAATCTCAATGTTAAAAGTATGCCAAAACCTTTATTATTATTAATGTAAGTGTAGCAGCTGTTGAGTGAGGATTCACGCCATACACACTATCATTTAAATTAAGAAAATCTTTACTAGGCATGGACACTACAGTTAGTTAAAAATTTAAGTTTAGTGGAAATTCACCAGATGAGCAGAAGAAGTTTTTTATGTGTATAATGTTTTTCATAAGAGTGTTTTTACTTGCTAACAATGATGTATAAAACAATTCCCAAATAAAATAATTAGCTAGATATTATTAAAATGATTTTGCATATAACTTGTACTACAATTTGATTATTTTATAAGTAGTCTTACAGTGCATATACCATATTTAGAAAAAATATATGAATATGTATATATGCATTTATGTAAATATTTTTTTAAAAATTAAAATTAAATTAATGCTAGTTATTATTCTTTTAAATCTCAT